AAMSCSKTTKKWAAGCATTTCCATCTTCCAGGAACATTCAAGACCAACCTGTCCGTTGGGTCCTTCAGCACCCTGCCCAGGTCAAGGGTGGCTCCAGGCCGTGGGGTCCACGTGAGCACATCAGAGTGTTTCTTGATAAGGTTGTTGAGTTGATTTGGGTCATTCTTGATGTTTGTTTCCTTAATGTATCTGAGAAAGAAGGGCATGCCCAGGTAAGAAGGTCTCTTCCCAGAGGCTGGTCTGACTATGACAGTGACAGAGTCCCCGCTTCCYAACAGCCACCCCCCGTCAGTCCACGGAAACCTAAGGGCTGGACTGGAAGGTGCGACAGACAGAGAGCGCCACCTCTACCCTGCTCGCTGTAGGCAGAAGGAACCTCAGGTCTGGAAAACTGGCTAGGACCTGAGTGGGCAGTCCACCCAGGAGCCACACAGCCCCAGCAGGCACGGCTGCAGGGAGGGGCTRCCCCCAACTGCAGGCAAGTCTGAAAAGTCCCCTGGTTCAAAGCCATTAAGAACCCCCCACCCTCACAGCCCCCGTCCTGAGACCACACACATGCTCAGTCACAACCCGTCCTGGACCCAGCTCCCCACTGACCCCGGGGGGGGGTGGGGGGGGCTCCCAGATCTGACACCAAACCACGACCTCTCTCGGGAGCTGTAGCTTTTCCAACTCTGTGTCACCCTGGAAGGCAACTGGTGGGGCAGGGGCAGGGAGAACGGGAGGCGCAGGCGTGGTCTGGCCAGACAGCCGGTTACGTGCCACAGCGTGGCTGCCTGGACTTGGAGTGCTCAGGTGAGACAGACAAAGCACACGGAATCAACGAGCAGACGTGAGCACAGTCGTTGTCTCTGCACCCACAGGCGTCTAAGCCCTGCCTTTTCGGTCCCCATCAATGTCCCCCTGTGACTGAGGTCCCTCATCTACAGCAGGGCCACCGCTCTCTCTTCCTCTTGCTGCCGTGGACTCCCTGCCTTCAGTGGCCCATCTCGAGCCTCTTCCTAAAACACCACGTGTGGCATCACCCAATTCCACAACTTCTCGATGCTTTGCCTTCTCTAGAGCCATGACGAAATCTAGAGGCCGAGCTCTGAAGGGCGCGGTGGTGCTGAGGGTGACGTCCACATCCACCAGCTGCTCACATACAGACTGGCTTTCACGCCTCCAAAGGCAGCCTCTGGGTAGCATGTCAACCCCCTCCCTCCTCTCCAAGTCCCTGCAATCCCTCATCACATCTCTTCCGTCTGAGTTCTCGTCCCCGTCCCTGTCTTCTCCACCATTCAGACATGCAACCTGGCGTCTAGTTGTGTCCCTGCTCCTCACTGGATGCCCTGTTGGCTGCCCACCCCTCCAGGTGTAGTCCCAGACATGCCCCTCCCCTGCCCCTCACAGAGCCCCATTCTCCCTGCTGGGCTGCGGCCTCCTGTCCACACCTGYTCACCTTGCTGGTCTGTGGCCACCCAGGAGTCCTTTCCTCACCACCACCTGTGTCCCCTTGGCCATCAGAACATTCATCACAYCGTATTCAAGTGCCTCTCTTCCAGTAAACCCTAACCGGGGACGGCCACTGACCTCTGGTCCCCAGCGCCTAGCACAGGCTGCTCACTACAAGGAAAGWGCTGGGCACGGGGTGCACACCTGTAGTCCCAGTGACCTGGGGGCAGCTGAGGCAGGACAATTGTGAGTTTACGKCTAGCCTCAGCAATTTAGGAAGTCCCTAAMCAACCTAGACCCTGTCTCAAAATAAAAACTTATAAAAGGGTTGGGACGACAGCTCAGTGGTTAAGGGTACCAGGATTTAATCACTGSCSCCCCCCCMAAAAAAAACAATAAAAACAAACATAAAATAAGATAAGTGATACATGACTGAGGGACAGCATTGATAAAATAAATCATTTTGGGGGGCTGGGGTTGTGGCTCAGCAGTAGAGCGCTTGCATACCTCTTGTGAGGCCTTGGGTTCGATCCTCAGCACCACATAAAAATAAATAAAATACAGGTATTGGGTCCAACTACAACTAAAAAATAAATATTTTTTTAAAGTTTTTTTCAGCAAAAGTGTGAATATGGTAAAAAAAAAAATCATCTTTTAACCCCAGGCCAATCCTACTGAAGAACGTTAGGAAGGTGTGGGGCAGCTCAGTGRTGTCCACGGGAAGGCTAAAGGAAGGGGACACACCGGAAAAGGCCACACGGAGTGACCGCACATGTAGCTAACTGGCTTCAAAGTGGCGAGTCGTGCTTTAAGGATGAGACAGGTGAAGTCTGAAGTGGGCAGAGCCCTGGTCCCAACCAGCGGTGCAGAACCTGGACTGCACGCAGCCCACRGCTCTTACTGCGCTGTCTGTGGCCTCCAGGTGCAGGGAGGCAACCTTATCTGAAAGTGGTCATGAAACAGGCTGCAAACGGGTTTCCTGACAGCAGTAAAGTCAGATAAGCAGAGAGGCGTGGCTCTGCAGCGAGGGGGCGAGCCTCTCGCCACCACGTGGCGGCCCCTGCCTGGACGGGAAACCCATCTCAAAGTGGATTTTGTGAAGCAGGTGGAAGCTGCTCATAGAGACACTCCRTGAGGGCCTGAGTCATGAGTTCACTCAGGATCCCGTAAGCTCTGGTCAATGGGATCATAAAAGCAAAGTTCAAACATCTATACAGTTTTATTTAGCATTTCAAATAATAAAACTATGCTCCAAATCCTACACAATGGGTAGATATCTTCTGTTGTTTCTACTAGAGATTGCAAATTCTATAAAATGTGCATATACCAACTTATGGCCTCACAAATATGATTTAAGTATATTAGCTTCACCTACCATGGCTTCACAGGAGGACTCCTTAGGAACTGTTCACCTTTTTTGCTCTTTAACTTTCCATGTTTCCTGAGAGGCAGTTATTTGAATGGGGCGGGGGGCTCAGTGCTATGGCTTCAGCACCCACATCAGGACAACRCACAGTTCTCCTTGAGCTGCCCTCTGTAGTCAGACGCCCCAAGCCCTAACTCCTGTGCACAGCCTGTTCTCCAACCCYTGGCTTTGCCCTTTCCAGGATGTTGTATGAACAGAGTCAAGTGGAGGGCAACCTTTGGAGACTGGCTCTGCCATCCGTGGTGCCTGAGAGGCACCTGTGCTGTGTACACAGAGGTTGCTCTTACACTGACTGAAGCCCCTGCATGTTGACCCACCCACCCGCTGAAGGTGAGCTGGGACAATGTGTTGACTAGGAATAAAGCTGATATTCATGTTTTTGCATAGCATTGGGGTAAATAAAGATTAAATAGCTTTAGAGTAAGTACCCAGGGGTGGAATTCCTAGATCGTGATGCAAGGTCACCTTTAAAGAAGCTGCTAACCCCTTTTCCAGCTTGGCTAACAGTGGCAAGTGTGTGTTCCTGTCACTCTGTGTCCTTGCCAGGACTTGGCATTGTGGATTTTCCAGAAGGCTATTAATTCTAATAGTCAGGGGCACTGTGGGGTTGACTTGCCTTCCCTGATGGTTGGYGCCGGTGAGCATCTTTTCATAGCTRATTTACCATCCATAGGTCCTCTTGGGTAAAGTGTCTGCTAAGACATTTTGCCCATTTTTTACTTTCTTACTGCTTATTTTTAAAAATTATTATTTGAAGTTGTGGTCTTACTGCTGAGTATTAAGAATGTATCATGAACTATGAACACTAGTTTTGTGATATGTTCTGTCTGTGGTTGGCCTTTCTGTTTCTTTGAGTTTCCTTTATACAGCAAGATTTATTAATTTTTATAATGTTCTGTTAATTTTTTCATCATGCTTTMGATGTCATATCTAAGAAGTATCTAACTCATGGTCATAGAGATTTTCTTCTACAAGTCTTACAGTTTTATAAAATCTACATACACGTCTACGATTCTTCTCTACTTTTTGTATATATGGTGTGAGGTTCTTTTTGCAGATCATTGTGCAACTGCTCAAATAACATTTATTAAAGACTTTCCTTTCCCCAAGAGATTGCTTTTTTTTGCATCTGTATTTCCCCAAATTGTACCTTTGTCAGAATCAGTTGGCCGTGCTTTGTGGATCGTTTCTGGATTCCCTGCTCTGTCCTGTTCTGTGTGTGTCCACCACCTGATCTTGATTTCCATAGCTTTAGAGTTTGTCTTAGAACTGGATGGCATGCATCCTCCAGCTTAGTTTTGTGTTGGCAGAATTGTTTTGACTAGTCTAGTTTCTTTGCCTTTTCTGAGACTGTCTATACCACACAATATCCTACAAATCAAAAACTATAGCAAGATTTCTTCTCACTCCAATCAGAAGGGCAATTACAYRTCAATGTGTTTAGCKGTGCAATTCACAATAGCCAAGTAATGGAASCAGCCCAGGTRCTCTCCAACAGACAAACAGATAAAAAAAATGTGAAATGTAGACACAATGGAGTTCTACACAGCCATAAAAAWGAATGAAACCATGGCATAAATGGATGAAACTGGAGAATATCATGCCAAGTGAAATAGGCCAGACCCAGAAAGTCAAAGGTTGAATGTTMTCTCTCCTGTGTGGAAGCCAGAAAGAAGAAAAAAACAGGAAAGAGGAACCAATCCTACGAAAAGAAAAGAGAGACCAGTGGGGATTGAGGAGGAGTGAGAAGGGACGGGAAAGGGAGAAACGGCAGAATGAAATAGACTCAAACYATCTTTKGTACATCCATGAATACACCACAGTGAGTTCCACACTTATAAAAACTATAAATAAATAGAAGACAGACCCACGGAATAGAGGAAAGGGAACAGGGGGAGGGAAAGGGGAAGGACTGGGGACTGATTTAGGGCAAATTATATCCCATGCTTGTATAATTGCCCAAATAAACCCCARTACCATGGATAACTACATAACTACTACTAGTTTTTTTTAAATCAGTGTTATTTTATCTTCAAAAATTGGTTAGAGCTGGACACAGTAGTGCACACCTATAATCCYAGTGGCTTGGGAGGCTGAGACAGGAGAACTGTGAGTTCAAAGTCAGCATCAGCAATTGGGAGGTGCTAAGCAACTCAGTGAGACCSTGTCTCTAAATAAAATACAAAAATAAGGCTGGGGATGTGGCTCAGTGGTTGAGTGCCCCTGAGTTCAATGCACAGTACCATTAAAAAAAAAAAAGTTGGTCAGAATTTGCAACATACAATGTGGGGGTGAAGTTTCCAGTTTTGGAGTGTTCAAAATAATTACT